GTTAACTCTGGCTGTACAGTACAGTAAATGTTTGGTGATAGTGAAAGGTAACTCTGGCTTTACAGTACAGTAAATGTTTGGTGATAGTGAAAGGTAACTCTGGCTTTACAGTACAGTAAATGTTTGGTGATACTGAAAGTTAACTCTCGCTGTACTATTGATGTTTCTAGAATTGTCCCTATTTTACGTAGAAGCCAATGGTCTCCGTTGAATCTTCCATATGTTCAGATTTTACCCTGGTCCTATCGATTTTGAGTTCGAACTACGGTTTTTTTCATTACACCTCCATTATCTCTAGCTTTCTTCATAACAAGTGAATATGTTCGCCTGCGAATATATTTGTTCTAATTTCGTTCATGTGGAATAAGCGAAAATTGTCCATTTTAAAGGTTGCATCGCCTACAATATATACAACGCTATTTTTTCTATATTTTTAGTGACAACACTCTCACTATACGTGCACAATATCAGCAGCACCTAGGATTAAAGCCATTTCAAAATCAATCTTATGATATTCATTACATAGCTCAAATACGTCACAAGCGTGTAAAACGCTGCACGGCTGAACTACCTTGACCGCCCGATCCCTATTCGATCAGGATACAGATATGAGGATCAGATATTGACCGCAAGCATGTCAGTTATTTGGAAGACGATCCAAAACTGTACTTAACGTAGCTTTTTACTGCTCTTTATAGTGTCGTAAAGCGACGTAGAATTCTCTGCAATTCTTAGTGCGATGTTCTGTAATCCGTAACGCTATATCGTAGTGGTAGGGTTTTATTGTCTTGTTTTGATAAACAGTCGTACACACGAGAAAAATCTGCCATCAAATACAGTAATTTAAATATTGTAGGATGGTGAAAAGACGTTTATTTTAAACTGTTTAGGTAGAAATCAACCATTTCTTTGGGAAAAATAACAAAACTTGACAGTGTAAACATATATGTGTTGATGAAGATGGTCCAACAAATTCGTCTATAGTCGTATAAAGTTTCTACAACTTCCTGTTATTGCGGTTTTAACTGAAGTCGCGGCCCTGATTACAGGAACCCAAAAACATATCAATTGACTAATTCTGTTTCAATGGTCAATATAAAGGCGAAGTAAAACGCTGTGTTAGGTCGCTACAAACAACATGATTTAATAATAGGCCGTGAGATAAGACAGCGAGCAGCCTCTTTATCAGCGAGAAGGATTAACAACAGATGTGTACCAGCCAACGTTGAAACTAGCCACGTATTGTTGAACGCAACTTATGGAGCATATTACAAACGTAAAGTGAACAAAGTCGTCAATCGCAGAGGTCAGACGGAGAATAATGAAAAACACAAAACTTGAAAAACACGTGTCATGACCTAGCAAAGGTCGATTCTTTGAAAAGTAAAAATAAAAACCTGTAAAAAATAAGCAATTACGATCGAAATATCAAAGAAAAACACATCAAATACAAATTAAATGATTGTATATTATTTCAAGGTCGTTAAGGCACAACAAAGACCTTGTCAGATAGATCAGTCAATGGTTAGTTGTACTTAACGTACCCGTTTGACTTGTATTCCATTATATACGGTACCAATTTATTTTTTAGTTTGTGTGTGGGGTGCTGTAATTTTTGGCTTAATAAAGTAGAGCAGAAACAGAAAACACTTCGGAAGATCTTTTATTTATAACAAATGACAATAAAAACAAGCTAGTTCTGTATTTATTACTAAATAAATGAACTTCCTTGAATAAAAAACAACAACCTGGCGCCTTACAATTTACGTCCTATCTATAATTAACAAAACACTCACTTGATTAATGAAGGTACTTAACAGTTCGTTAAAGAAGGCCAAAGTCGTGTCTTGTTGATTGAACATTCCTGGTGAAGTACACGGCTCGTCCATTTTAGGACACGCGTCGGCTTTATTTAGAGCACGTCTTCCAAGAGGAAATTCCAGAATGTACATACTCGTTTCTCAATAAAATCGATCGCAGTTAGACTAACGAGTTTACATTAACCCTCACCTACAGAGGCCATGGACTTATCTAATTAATTAAGGAGTTTCTGTAATTTCGCTTTTTAAACGGTCACTTTGTTGGCAGTCTCGTCTGAAAGTCATGTGACTGTTTTGAACCTTGCGGGACACCAACAGTACACGAGGTTTCACATGGACTAAGGCGACTTTCTCATGGCCCCAGCAGCTCTTCCCTATCTCAACACAATCAGATTAAGGATTAACTAATTGTTCCATCTTATTCTCCTGGTGATAACAATCCCAAATATGTGGAGTATCTCGCTAGTAATTCTACCAATTCCCGGTATGACGGGGCCTGCCTACCAAAGATGGGGGATTAGTGTGTGTATAATTTAAAACATCCCAAATCGACATTGTCAGCGGTAAACACACAAACAGGTTGATGCGTAAGCAAGGCATGCCTTTAAACATAGTGTCTCGTGCAGGCCTCGTGGGTACACATACATACCGCAGTTAAGTCTCTTCCGATTGTTTCATTTTCAATTTGCAACGCTGATTTCAATCTTCTATCATTCTTTTGGCTGTTCATTTCTGTTCAGTGTATGAGGTGTTAATAATAGGTTACGAGCGGATGAACGCTACGTAAGCTAGTCTAATCTTTAACGGTTATGTGGCCACACAGAACACTCAATAATTTGTTTAATTAATTTTATTTCAATGAGTTGGCGATTACATTGTTACATTTGCTATACTATGTGATCGTTGTGAAAAAGTGTGTATAATATGTACCAGATTTTTATTTTCCCCTCGTAGCCATTTCGATGTAGGGAAATGTTGCAAACACAACAAATTGAAGTGTTTTCTGTTTTGTTTTTGATTTACAACATTTTATAATTAATACGTCAATAAAATTATTATTTCTTGTAATTGTTCATCCTTACTTTCAAGTACGATATACGTACTTGACGATTACTATTTTAGTTTGAACTATTGGATCTCCATGTTTATTGTTGTGACTTCGTGCTTCAGACTTAAATCAGTGATGCGCTTTTGTTAAACAGTTGTTTGACCCATGTTATAATGGAGATGACCCCAGAATGATTCCTCCATCACCATGCCCTTGTCCGTCATCATCCTTCAACTATAATCCAGTAACTCAAGATCTAAATATCAACATGGTCTAAAGTATCGCAAACGCGACCAAAACATATCTGCTGTGCCTATTGCAATATTTTGAATCTTACCTTTCTTTCTACTTCTATCTACCTTTTATTTCCTAGCGCCTTACTTGGCAACACCTCACTTTTGAGTTCGCCCAGGTGAGGAAGGCAATGGGTTCTGTCCCAAGGCCGGGACATACCAAAGTCCTTCGGGGCTATCGGGGATGTTTTTTTTATCTTTAAATAACCAATAAACTATTGACAATGTCGATCGTTTTAACCCTCCTAAATGAATTCAAGTACACAACTGACTGCATGTCGTGCTTGAGGCTACAGAGTATGACCCCATTCCCGTATCGGGTTGTTTTCCTCTGTCTATGGGATGTTGAAGATGTGCTGTCTCCTTATTTTTCTGGCCCCAAAACGTTTTGTATAGGTTTCCACGCGGACAAGTGAACACCTTCACCGGTGTACAGTGCTGTCAGTAAAGCTACAGATCGCCTATGTCTCGCTGAGCGTGTTACATTACCACAGAAAGCCATCATTAATTAGAGACGTTAATTGTGATACGCCGTGACTGTCACATTCCTCAATCCTCACTCCTTCACCACAGGGGCCAGATATATACGGGCAAGTGTTAATAAAGTAATATCATATGCACAGGGGCAAGAGATATATAGGCCAATGTTAGTAAAGTAGTAGTATTATACACAGGGGGCAGAGATATACGGACCAGTGTTTGTAAAGTAATTGTATATACACAGGGGCCAGAGACATACTGGTCAGTGTTAGTAAAGTAATATCATATACACAGGGTCCAGGGAGTTACGGGCTATTACTGTTAGTAATAATTCAAATGCCTCACAACTTCAACAGCCCAAATGTTTGAAACATTTTACTTATCTGCAACACTGACAACAATGTCGAATTTTGTCATTGACTTTATGTCTTCCAGTATATATTAGGTCTCTCAACTGAAAAAAAATCCGATTCCTTTACCGGACCGAGGTTCAACTTTGTATGGAAACATTTCGACGCACGTAAACTCGATATCATCATCGAAATTTCAGTCGTCTACACTTAGTTTTGGTTATTTTCCGATACCGGACACGAAATTAACATCACGTATTAGCTATCGCATCTCATTTCAAATTTATGTCACGGTCACGTGGCTGTTGCATTTAAAAATAACTTACGTGTGATTAATTTTTATTACATATTGCTATTTGGTGCGGATCATTGGGCCGTTTATCCTTTATAACATTACAAACCAGTCCGTATTTACTGTCTGGTCCCTGTGTCTCTGATGGGTTCAGAGGAACGTAGTTGGCGCTGTCAGATAGCTTGTCTCTGGTAGTCCCAGTTGGTTTAACAAGCAGTAAACATGTTTATGTACAATATATTATTGTCTTTACATATGTTGACTACCGGTCTGACACGGCGTCTTCCACCTGCGTCAAAAACGTCTGAAATCTCTAGGTTTACACTTATGACGACAGTAAACGCGACAGCGGACATTTGTCAGACAGAAGGACTGCGGCCTGACCAAGACTAATTGACCACAATGATTGCAAACAACAAGCTTCACAGTAAAACAATGACAGGTGTCTGCTGTCGTGACAAAAAGGAGGAAGTCCACTCGCATGGTAGATAACAAGAAGGGGGTGATAGTCGTATAATCGTTACAAATTGGGAAACATGTTTTTACTCGTAGGGAAAAGGAGGGTTAACTTCACCCATTGTCGGTCGGCAAAAGGGTGTGAAGCTCGCTTCTTGCATGGCCAATAAAAAAAGGAGCGGGGAGGGGAGGGGACTTTTCATATAGAGTAAAGGGGTAATCTGTTATTTGCATGGTTGGTACAAATGAAGAAATTCTCGAATGGCCAGTAAAGGGAGGGTTCATAAAGAGGACAGTAAGGGGAGGGTTGATAAAGAGGACAGTAAAGGGAGGGTTGTTAAAGAGGACGGTAAAGGGAGGGTTGCTAAAGAGGACAGTAAAGGGAGGGTTGATAAAGAGGACGGTAAAGGGATGGTTGATAAAGAGGACGGTAAAGGGAGGGTTGATAAAGAGGACAGTAAAGGGAGGGTTGTTAAAGAGGACAGTAAAGGGAGTGTTGTTAAAGAGGACGGTAAAGGGAGGGTTGATAAAGAGGACAGTAAAGGGAGGGTTCATAAAGAGGACGGTAAAAGGAGGGTTGATAAAGAGGACAGTAAAGGGAGGGTTGTTACAGAGGACAGTAAAGGGAGGGTTGTTAAAGAGGACTGTAAAGGGAGGGTTGCTAAAGAGGACAGTAAAGGGAGGGTTGATAAAGAGGACAGTAAAGGGAGGGTTCATAAAGAGGACGGTAAAAGGAGGGTTGATAAAGAGGACAGTAAAGGGAGGGGTGATAAAGAGGACGGTAAAGGGAGGACAGTAAAGGGAGGGTTGTTGCAGAGGACAGTAAAGGGAGTGTTGTTAAAGAGGACGGTAAAGGGAGGGTTGATAAAGAGGACAGTAAAGGGAGGGGTGATAAAGAGGACGGTAAAGGGAGGGTAGATAAAGAGGACGGTAAAGGGAGGGTTGATAAGGAGGACAGTAAAGGGAGGGTTGATAAAGAGGACGGGAAAGGGAGGGTTGATAAAGAGGACGGTAAAGGGAGGGATGATAAAGAGGACGGTAAAGGGAGGACAGTAAAGGGAGGGTTGTTGCAGAGGACAGTAAAGGGAGTGTTGTTAAAGAGGACGGTAAAGGGAGGGTTGATAAAGAGGACAGTAAAGGGAGGGGTGATAAAGAGGACGGTAAAGGGAGGGTAGATAAAGAGGACGGTAAAGGGAGGGTTGATAAGGAGGACAGTAAAGGGAGGGTTGATAAAGAGGACGGTAAAGGGAGGGTTGATAAAGAGGACGGTAAAGGGAGGACAGTAAAGGGAGGGTTGTTACAGAGGACAGTAAAGGGAGTGTTGTTAAAGAGGACGGTAAAGGGAGGGTTGATAAAGAGGACGGTAAAGGGAGGGTTGATAAAGAGGACGGTAAAGGGAGGGTTGATAAAGAGGACGGTAAAGGGAGGGTTGATAAAGAGGACGGTAAAGGGAGGGTTGATAAAGAGGACGGTAAAGGGAGGGTTGATAAAGAGGACGGTAAAGGGAGGGTTGATAAAGAGGACGGTAAAGGGAGGGTTGATAAAGAGGACGGTAAAGGGAGGGTTGATAAAGAGGACAGGACATCAAACCCTATAGTCTAAGTGGTGGAACGGCCACCATGATCATTGTGGACTGGTAAGTGACACGCCACTCACACACTGTTAGAGTGGTTTCTAGTTATGTTTTTAACGTTATTTGTTTTAAGACATTGCATAACATGTATTAATTGTTGGAAGGTGGGACTCTAATAAAATATCTGTATCTGTACAATCATTCTATGAATTTGGAGAAAACTTGATAGATTGCTTAATTCGGCATGTATCTGGTATAGTTTTACTCTCCTTCTTGGCCGAATCGTTCTCCGTGGAATAGATTATTGCTTTTTGTAAACAAATTCGCAAGAGTGCACAAAACTTTCCCAATAATTTTCGATGATGGGATAACCAAAATAACAGAGATTCCAGCCGCGGAAGAATCGAATCTCCGTAACTCTAAGATCAAAAGCAAGAATGTCCTATCCTATTTAAGCGTTGATAACACATTGATGTTTGATATTAACATCCGTCAGCCGAACACTTTAAAAAATGACCCCCGTTTTATTGGTCCATATTACAGTCATTTTATACCGTATGAAATCTCGGACGATGATCCTGTCGGCCTGTCGGCCTGTCGTTAACGCCAGTGTCACTTCCAATATGGGTTTAGTTGCCCCGGTGTCGGATGCGTGTCGTCTGCTCCAGGTATCTTTCACTGACGTGTATTCCCTTTCATAAGACGATGCGTATTTGTTTTCATTGAAACTTTTAAAATTCCAGCCCTCTGTCACATGCGTGAAGGCTTGACCTGGTCGGAGACGGAAAGTCTTTTCTTTTCATGGACAATATGTTCTGTCTCTCAAGTGTCCGGGTTTATATTTCTTTACACGAGAAGAATATCTTATTGGAAATGTAATTGAAAAACCCTTCTATATGATACTGCCATTCTTTATATTGAGATAATGTGGACCGAAAATTGTAAGCTTTCGGTATACCTGAACAACTTGGGCAGAAATTGATAACGAATATATTGACGGTGACAATGGTATTCTTATTCACGTAAACGGAAATTGACTGTGTAGAGATAACAACAACCACACAACCATTACGATTTTTTATTACATTAAACATAAACACAGACTGATATAAATAGGCGGAAGAGGCAGAGAACAGTTGGACTGACTTTATACAGAGTTCGAGAAGGGGTGCTGGCTATAGACCGAGTTCGGGAAGGGGTGCTGGCTATAGACTGAGTTCGGGAAGGGGTGTTGGCTATAGACGGAGTTCGTGAAGGGGTGCTGGCTATAGACCGAGTTCGTGAATTGATGTTGGCTATAGACCGAGTTCGTGAAGGGGTGCTGGCTATAACCGAGATCGGAAAGGGGTGCTGGCTATAGGCTGAATTCGTGAATGGGGTGCTGGCTATGGACCGAGTTCGTAAATTGGTGCTGGCTATAGACCGAGTTCGGAAAGGGGTGCTGGCTATAGACCGAGTTCGTGAATAGGTGCTGGCTATAGACCGAGTTTCGTGAATTGGTGCTGGCTATAGACCGAATTCATGAATTGATGCTGGCTATAGACTGAGTTCGTGAAGGGGTGTGGCTATAGACCGAGTTCGTGAATTGGTGCTGGCTATAGGTCGAGTTCGTGAATTGCTGCTGGCTATAGACCGAGTTCGTGAAGGGGTGCTGGCTATAGGCGGAGTTCGGAAAGGGGTGCTGGCTATAGGCTGAGTTCGTGAATGGGTGCTGGCTATAGGCGAGATCGGAAAGGGGTGCTGGCTATAGACTGATTTTGTGAAGGGGTGTTGGCTATAGACGGAGTTCGTGAAGGGGTGCTGGCTATAGACTGAGATCGTGAATGGGTGCTGGCTATAGACTGATTTTGGGAAGGGGTGCTGGCTATAGACTGAGATCGTGAATGGGTGCTGGCTATAGACCGAGTTAGGAAAGGGGTGCTGGCTATAGACCGAGTTCGGGAATGGGTGCTGGCTATAGACCGAGTTCGTGAATGGGTGCTGGCTATAGGCTCGTGAAGGGGTGCTGGCTATAGACCGAGTGAGTTCGTGAATGAGGTGCTGGCTATGGACCGAGTTCGTAAATTGGTGCTGGCTATAGACCGAGTTCGTGAATGGGTGCTGGCTATAGACCGAGTTCGTGAATTGGTGCCGGCTATAGACCGAATTCGTGAATTGATGCTGGCTATAGACCGAGTTCGTGAAGGGGTGCTGGCTATAGACCGAGTTCGTGAATGGGTGCTGGCTATAGGCGAGAGCGGAAAGGGGTGCTGGCTATAGGCTGAGTTCGTGAATGAGGTGCTGGCTATGGACCGAGTTCGTAAATTGGTGCTGGCTATAGACCGAGTTCGTGAAGGGGTGCTGGCTATAGGCGGAGTTCGGAAAGGGGTGCTGGCTATAGGCTGAGTTCGTGAATGGGGTGCTGGCTATAAACTGAGTTCGGAAAGGGGTGCTGGCTATAGACTGAGTTTGGGAAGGGGTGTTGGCTTTAGACGGAGTTCGTGAAGGGGTGCTGGCTATAGACTGAGTTCGTGAATGGGGTGCTGGCTATAGACCGAGTTCGTGAATGGGGTGCTGGCTATAGACCGAGTTCGGAAAGGGGTGCTGGCTATAGACCGAGTTCGTGAATGGGTGCTGGCTATAGACCGAGTTCGTGAATTGGTGCAAAGGGGTGCTGGCTATAGACCGAGTTTGCTGGCTATAGACCGAGTTCGTGAATTGATGTTGGCTATAGACCGAGTTCGTGAAGGGGTGCTGGCTATAGGCGAGATCGGAAAGGGGTGCTGGCTATAGGCTGAATTCGTGAATGGGGTGCTGGCTATGGACTGAGTTCGTAAATTGGTGCTGGCTATAGACCGAGTTCGTGAAGGGGTGCTGACTATAGACTGAGTTAGGGAAGGGGTGCTGGCTGTTGACCGAGTTCGTGAATTGGTGCTGGCTATAGACCGAGTTCGGAAAGGGGTGCTGGCTATAGACCGAGTTCGTGAATGGGTGCTGGCTATAGACCGAGCTCGTGAATTGGTGCTGGCTATAGACCGAATTTGTGAATTGATGCTTGCTATATACTGAGTTCGTGAAGGGATATGGCTATAGACCGAGTTCGTGAATTGGTGCTGGCTATAGACCGAGTTCGTGAATTGGTGCTGGCTATAGACCGAATTCGTGAATTGATGCTGGCTATAGACCGAGTTCGTGAAGGGGTGCTGGCTATAGGCGAGATCGGAAAGGGGTGCTGGCTATAGGCTGAGTTCGTGAATGGGGTGCTGGCTATGGACCGAGTTCGTAAATTGGTGCTGGCTTTAGACCGAGTTCGGAAAGGGGTGCTGGCTATAGACCGAGTTAGTGAATGGGTGCTGGCTATAGACCGAGTTCGTGAATTGGTGCTGGCTATAGACCGAATTCGTGAATTGATGCTGGCTATAGACCGAGTTCGTGAAGGGGTGTGGCTATAGACCGAGTTCGTGAATTGGTGCTGGCTATAGACCGAGTTTGTGAATTGATGCTGGCTATAGACTGAGTTCGTGAAGGGGTGCTGTCTAGGCGGAGTTCGGAAAGGGGTGCTGGCTATAGGCTGAGTTCGTGAATGGGGTGCTGGCTATAAACTGAGTTCGGAAAAGGGTGCTGGCTATGGACTGAGTTTGGGAAGGGGTGTGGCTATAGACCGAGTTCGTGAATTGGTGCTGGCTATAGACCGAGTTCGTGAATTGATGCTGGCTATATACCGAGTTCGTGAAGGGGTGCTGGCTATAGGCGGAGTTCTAGACCGAGTTCGCTATAGACTGAGTTCGCGTGAATGGGGTCCTGGCTATAAACTGAGTTCGGAAGGGGTGCTGGCTATAGACTGAGTTTGGGAAGGGGTGTTGGCTGTAGACGGAGTTTGTGAAGGGGTGCTGGCTATAGACCGAGTTCGTGAATGGGTGCTGGCTATAGACCGAGTTCGTGAAGGGGTGTTGGCTATAGACCGAGTTCGTGAATTGATGCTGGCTATAGACCGAGTTCGGAAAGGGGTGCTGGCTATATACCGAGTTCGTGAAGGGGTGCTGGCTATAGACTGAGTTCGGAAAGGGGTGCTGGCTATAGACCGAGTTCGGAAAGGGGTGCTGGCTATAGACTGAGTTCGTGAATGAGTGCTGGCTATAGACCGAGTTCGTGAAGGGGTGCTGGCTATAGGCTGAGTTCGTGAAGGGTATAAAATACATAGTAAGATCAGAGGTCAAGGTCACTGGTTTTTCATCACTACTATGGAGTACAATGTATATGTGTCCATGATATAACTCTCAACCATCGGCTATCTGTAATGAGGCACTCTTTGATGATACATATTGGCAGGTTTGGATGAATGTGACCGCTGAAAAAATATCTGGCG